TCATGACAGATAAGTAATTTACTTAAAACTGGTAGTTCGAGGAATAATGTTTGTAGCCTAATATAATAAAATTTCGCAGGGGGTGTTTGTCGAAAATAACTAATAAGGAGTAGTGTTGCTAAACGACTAATTCAAACCAGCTAGTCCTAAACTCAGCCAGTTTTTGAGTCATAATTGACTTAGGATCAACTGCTCGTTGAGACATGTGGCTGGCTCAGAGTTGGCTCAAGCTGGCTCAGGAGTTAGCTTGAGTTTAATTATAAGCCTAAATTTATTTAGTGATTGAAACATTTTAAGAATATAATTATGAAGAATTAGTGTTCTACCGCCAAGTTTTGAGTAAAAAAATGGATTCAGAATCAGGCTAACTCGATGGGAAACATGAATAAACTAGCCGAAGTTGTTTCAGAACTTTGAATTCGCTCACATGTTATTGATAACTACAAGTAAGTATATATAAAACTCTACTCTATCTGGAGCTAAACGGCTCGATTTTTAAAAACGGCTGACTTAATATTTTAGCCGTAAAATATTGCCTAAACCTCGAGATTTCGAAAAAATGTTTAAACCTAATATTATTAAACTGATATATTCTAAAATTCTTGAAAAAAAGGTGATAATATTTTTTTTACAATAAAAAAATTTAAAAAAAAGGTTTATGTTAAAAAAATATATAAATAATGAAGGCGTGGAAAAAATTTAATATTAAAAAAATTCAAACACTTTTACATAGAAATAGTAAAAAAAATATTTAAAACTTTGTCGACTATCTGTTTTGTTTAATTTGGTATGCTTAAAGGAGAAAATAGACTCCTAATATCAAACATATCTTTCGGCCACCTAATTTTTTTATCTGAGACAAACCAATTATTTATGGTTTGTTAGGTTATGCTGTTTTCATATTATGATATTTATAATATATGCATTCTTTAACTAATTCAATTACATAAAAACATTGAGTTAATAAAGGTTTTATATCAAAATATCTTTTGCTATAAAGAAAAAAATGATTTATATTTTAATTTCTAAAAATAAATTATTATGTACAAAAAATTTTTTAAAAAAAATAAAAATATTATTAAACAATATATATGAGGGAACTTAGCATGGTACATGAGTTCTAGATTTTTATTATATTCTTTTAAAATATTTAAATAATAAATAAATAAAGTTAAGCTTAAAATTAGACTCGAGCTAACTCCTGCCTGAACTATGAGTTTGTGGCAATTTCCAATGATAATTAAATTAAAAATTTTTGCTAATGAATTAAGTAGAAATCAGAAGTGTTAAATCCAAGAGGTCAATAACAAATGATGGAAGGAAGTAATCAAGGCCTGGAGCTGAATCTTTTGGGTAAAATTTGATAGATGTTAAAACTTATTCTGTATTTAAACTTGTATTTATTGGATAGTATTTAAGGTGATATTTTGGTTCTGGGCGTTATTCTAAAAGTTGATATATTTTCTTAAGTTGTCATTTGCCAAAGAGTTTTCATTTGCAAGAGCTCGGAGGGCTCCTTTGAGATTGAAATTATAGTTTTATTTAGGCCTATTCAAAAACGAATTCGAATCGAATAATTTACTATATGAATTCGTGCGAATAATAAAATCTACTATTTGTATTCGAATAATTCGAATTAATTTTTTTAAAATTAATCATACTCAAATATATTGACAAATTTTTTTATTACAAATTTGATTTTAAACAGAAAAAATTATAATAATATGTAATCAATAATCTGATAATAAATAATATATAATCAAGTTATAAACAAAATTAAAATATATATTATTAATTTAATTTATAATTTAAGCCAATTTTTAAGGCAAAGAGTTTTTCTTATATTTTCTCTTATATGACATGCGGTTTTTTGACAATAAATTAGTTCCAACTGAGAAAAGCCTTTCACAAGCAGTTGATGTTCCTTGTATAGATAGATAATCCCTTGCCATTTTCGAGAGTATGGGGATCCGATATGCATTTGCCTTCCACCACATTAACGGGTCAATATCACTCTTTGCTCTTGGTTCACTCAGATAAAAATCTATTTCACACAGTTGAATATTATTTTGTTTAAAAACAATGTATAGCCTGTTTTGTTGAATTTTATCCTTATTTGTTTGACAGTTATAATTATGAGCTTATAAAATAAAATCATATTTAAATGGGGGTAAATTAAATACCTGTATATCTATTGTAAATCTCTTTAAATTTGTCCATTAACTTGGATATATCAATATCATAATCAACAGATATTGATTTAAAATATTCTACTTTAAGCCTGGGATCTAATATTGTGGTTATTATTGCATCATCGGCAGTTAAATTATAATAGCCCAACAATTTATCACTGCTACTTTGAAACTATTGTTAAAGGATTTATGGAAACCAGGTTTTTCATTTTTTAGATGTTCAAGAATTAAAATATAATAAGGTATAACCAAATGATAAGTAGGATAATTCTCCCCACATACCATATTTGTAGTTTCATATAAAGGCAATAGTATAGCTTTAATTTTTATAAGATCCTCCCATTCTACCTATGACAAATGTTAGATTTATTAAACAATTTATTAAATATTACGAATAATTCGTTTTATTCGAATAATTCGTTTTATTCGAATAATTCGTTTTATTCGAATAATTCGTTTTATTCGAATAATTCGTTTTATTCGAATAATTCGTTTTATTCGAATCTAAATGATTATTCGTATTCAGATAAAACAAATAATTTATTATTCGTATTCGTAATTATTCGATTATATTCGAATTATTTTTGAATAGGCCTAGTTTTATTATATATTGGTTTATGTGAAAGGTTACTTTAAGATTTATTGACAGGATCGATGATGTGTGTGACAAGTTTTAAAATTGATAGCAACTTTAATTCTTCCCTTAGTCTATGGCAAAGAGGGTTCAAATTACCCTTTGGAGGGTTTTGTATAATTGTATTAAGGAATTTGATGTAAGCAGGGTAAATTATTTTAACGGTGTAACTAAACTGAGAATTGACAGGTAAACTGCGAATGGACAGGTAAAATATATGTTTATTTTATAGCCTAAAAACGTTACGTTTTTATTTTATAAAAATAAAATAAACGTTTTTATTTTGTAAATCAAATTTATCCAAATTAATTTTATCTAAATAAATAAAATAGAATATAGAGGAAATTGTAGTCCATAAATCAATATAATATGTATAGAACAGATATGTTACATAGAAAATATAACATCCATAATAAATTTAAAAATTCATAAATATATTTCCGTTAGATGGCGTAATATAATTTTTTTTTTAGTTTTTAATAAAAAAAAATATGAATAAAGGAGCATAATTCTTTACTTTGGATTAATTTATTTGGTACAAACTATATGATCATAAAATGAAAAAAAATTTAAGTTTCCATCATTGTTTTTTGAGTTATGATGTTAATTCTCAGTTCAAAAATATTTAGATTTTTGGGATTTTAAAAATGTTTTATTTTTTTGACTCATTTTGTGTAAACTTACTCCTATAAACATAAAATGAAAAAAAATTTAAGTTTCCGTCATTATTTTTTGAGTTATGTCAATTCTCAGTTTAGTCAAAAATATTTAGATTTTTAGGATTTTAAAAATGTTTTATATTTTTAACTCATTTTGTGTAAACTTACTCCTATAAACCTAAAATGAAAAAAAATTTAAGTTTCAGTCATTATTTTTTGAGTTATGATGTCAATTCTCAGTTTAGTCAAAAATATTTAGATTTTTGGGATTTTAAAAATGTTTTATTTTTTTGACTCATTTTGTGTAAACCGACTCATATAAACAAAAAATGAAAAAAAATGTAAGTTTCCGTCATGTTATGAAATGTGTAAAACTAGTTTACTTCAATTAAAATTTAGGGGCTCTTAAAAGGGCCGTTGGGTATTCGCTGGTCTTAAAAAAGACCGTTGGGTATTTATGTCTTAAAAAAGACGTTTTTTATAAATAAAGATTTAATAGTAAATAAAATTTTTTAAACCAATTAGAAATAGCAATATTCCTCAAATCTTATTAAATATAATTTTATAAAGAAAAATTAAGATAAATGGAAACTCATTATAAAGTTACATAAGAAGATAAGAGCACATAATTAAACTTACAAATATTAATTTTATAAAAGCCAGGAGGATCGGTAATTGTTAAAAATATAAAAATTATTTTTTTAAATATAGGGAGAATTATTTCGTTAATTATTGTATATATTAATTGTTGAAAGTTAAATATTTATCATAAAAACAAATAAATTATGGCCTTATTGTTTTCGTTCTTTCCGTTTTGGCTCTTTTGGCTTGATTAGGTTTTTTTGATACTAAAGGTTTCACTATAGCTAATTGACCACATGTTGAGGTAATTAGTTTTCCATTACTATTTTCAACAGAATTGTCTTATGTTCAGCATCTGTCATCTCAGCCCAGCTCTGATGCATGGATGATATATCTAATGCCTTTGTTAGATAATAAGGGCCCAACCCACATATGACTCTCTCGAAGTCTTTTTCCTGTATTAAAATTATATTATTTATTTTAATCATTATATGTAAAGGAGTTTTTATCCAATCAAATTTTGTTTTTAATACATGATTTATACTTTCACAATTATTGTTGGTGTAGGGTGTTAAAATTAATTTATTTTTTAAAGGAAAATATACCATATTATATAATTTATCTATCAAATGATTATCTAAATGTTGAATTTCGAAGTTTTTGGTATAATTGGTAAGATAAATATATTCAATATAAATATAATAATACCTTTTAAGTATATAACTTTATTATTACCAAATACAAATTATGTAAAAAAAAGAATTCAAAATAAAATGAATGATTATAATTCACAAAATACGGGTTTATATATGTTAATAAAATTAAATTAATATTCAAAAAAAATTTTATATGCAAAATTAAAATAAACAATAGTATTCTCCGTACATTCAAGTTCGTTAAGAATAATGGGTTTTTATATGTTAATAACAAAAATTAATATTCAAAAACCATTTTATATGCAAAATTTAAAATAGACAATCATATTCTCCGTACAATCAAGTTCGTTAAGGATAACTTTTATATTCATCTCTCATTTTAATATTCAAATAATACAATAAAAAAAAACTCTTTTTTTTCATAACTTTAACACCTTTGCACTTCGACTTGATTCTACCACTCATAAACTGCTACCTTGTCCTCGCATCGGTTCTTCCTCCTGTACTGTTAACATGTTATTGTTTGTGCTAATCGTGGGACACCTCCGTAAAATATGATCTCCCCCTACCAGCATGACATTCTTCTTCGAGATCCCCAATCCCGTTCTCTTCTACGATTGTACGACCAGCCTGCGGGTCTTTCTACCGTCATATCTCCATACCTGATCAGTGCCTCTTCTCTGGCGGCGTCTACCCATCTTCTAGATTCGTGATCCATCAACCATCCTTCAAAATAAAGTTGCCCACTCGAACGTACGAAGCCATCTATAACGGACTTAAGCTAAAAATATACTATATTTATCATTTATTTCTCTCCTATAATTCACCTGCTTCCTAATTCTAAATACTCATAATCATTCTCGTACTACTTATACCTCTCTCATTCTCTTTTACCTTATGTCAGATGTAATATCAAATCGTTCATCCCTTCAGCCGATCTATTCTACTAATTGTGTACTTCATACGTCAACATTATGATTATCATAACTCACACAGACTTGTTAAAAAACAAATCAATTATGTCTAACAGCATGCTCAACATTATGATTCTCACAATTCTCGCAAACTTGTTAAAAAACAAATCAATTATGTCTATCAGCATTCTCAACATTATGATTCTCATAATTCTCGCAGACTTGTTAAAAAACAAATCAATTATGTCTCAGCATTCTCGACATTCTGATTCTCATAACTCTCGCAGACTTGTTAAAAAACAAATTAATTATGTCTATCAGCATTCTGATTCTCATAATTCTCGCAGACTTGTTAAAAAACAAATCAATTATGTCTCAGCATTCTCGACATTCTAATTCTCATAACTCTCGCAGACTTGTTAAAAAACAAATAATTATGTCTATCAGCATTCTGATTCTCATAACTCTCGCAGACTTGTTAAAATTATGTCTATCAGCATTCTCAACATCTCAGCAATTTAATCGATTCACAACACCATTTATTCCTAACCTAGACACCTAGGTCTTAATTATTTAATATGCCTCGAAACTAATCTTATTCTTCCTTCAATTTCTACCTCTACCTTCTTTCTTCCTATATTCTTCTTCACTATACCTTTCCCCCATTTAACTGGGCCATCAAAAAGTAGTATCCAAACTAGGCTTCCGATCTTAAATCTGTCATTAATTATAACTTCTTTCTGTTCTATTCTTTCTTTCAGAAAATCTAATTCAGTTCTAGTTTTTCTACCTAAAAATATCTCTGCTGGTGAGCATCCTTTGCTTCTCTTGGTATTGTTGTATGCTAATAGTAATAACCACCATTCTCCTTCTCCATATTTTTCCTTTTTTAACCAACTCTTTACTAGAGCTACCATTCTCTCTGCTTGTCCATTACTTCTCGGGTAATGTGGTGGTGCTAATAAATGCTCAATCTTCCATCTATCACAAAATTTGTCAAAATCTCTGCCTATAAATGCTAGACCACCATCTGATACTAAGGTCTTCATTAATCCATATTTACTTACGAAGTCTTTTACCCTATTCAATGCTACTTTCGTCGTCAGACTAGATACCTGTTGACAATCTATCCATTTCGAACCTGCATCTACCATTATAAAATATTTCTTCCTTTTATATTCTAAAAAATCTATGTGTATTCTTTCACAGGGTACATCTGTTTCTGGCCATTTGTCTCCCCTAACTTTTGCAGGTACATTCGCACACTTATTACATGTTTCATAACTCTTAGATAATTCTTCAATTTCATTATTCATTCTGGGCCACCAAATGTATTCCCTCGCCTTATTCTCCACTTTCAATGCCCTGATGTCCTGTATGTACGGCTGTTAACATGTCTTTCCTTAATCTACTTGGTATCACTAAACGATATCCTCTCATTAAACAATTGTCTTCTATATTCAATTCACCTCTACTGTTTTTAAAGGCCTGGTCTCTATCTTCCCATTCTTTATCTCCCTTCAAACAGGCTCTAATTCTCATTAATTCTTCATCCTGCTGAGAAATCTTTACTAGCTCTAAAGTTATCGGTCTTTCTCTTGTGTCTATCTTTAAAGCTCTTATCACATTACTATTTAGTTCCTCTTCTTCACTATATTCTAAACTATTTATTATTGGCTCTATTTCCTTGTCTTCTAAGTCCTTATCACATAATCTCGATAATATATCTGGTAAACAATTTTGTTTACCCGCTCTGAATCTTATTTCGAAATCAAAATTCCCTAACAACATCAGCCATTTCTGTAACCTTGGCGACATCATCAACTCATTATTATCTCTTTTAAAAAGCCCTACCAGCGGTTTGTGATCTGTATATAACAAAAATATCTGGCCTAACAAATACTCTCTACATTTGGTTAAACCAAACTTGACTGCTAAAGCTCCCCTTTCTATAGTTGAATAATTTCTTTCAGCCTTATTAAACTGTCTTGACACAAATAAAATCGGTCTTTCTACACCATCAGCTACTTGTGATAAAGCTCCTCCTATACCTTCATTAGATGCGTCCACTGCTAAAACAATATCTAATTCCTCATTAAAGCACATCAACATAGGTTTCTCTACCAACTTTATCTTCAATTTTTTAAAACTTTCTTCCTGTGCTGCTTCCCACTCGAACCTTTTATTTTTCTTTAATAGACTATATAATGGTGTTGCAATTTCAGCAAAATCTTGAATAAAACTATGGTAATAATTTGTAGCTCATAAAAATGACTGTAATTCAGACTTATTATTTGGCGCTCTCATGTTTACTATCTTGTCTATATTTTTGGCAATCGAAGTAATTACGTTTCCCTTTATAAAATGTCCTAAGTACTTTATTTCTCTTACTCCGAAAACGCTTTTCTTCATATTAGCTTTTAAACCATTCTCTAATATTATATCTAACACCTTAACTAATCTAGAATTATGTTCTTCTTCGGTTCTACCTGATATTAAAACATCATCTAAATAATACATAATTCCCTTTAACCCTTGAAATAAAAAAGTCATCGTTCTCTGAAATATCGCAGCCGAAACTTTCAAACCAAATGGTAAGCGACAAAATGCAAATAATCCTCTATGCGTCGTAATTGTCAACAGCTTACTCGTGTTCTCGTTCACTTTAATCTGTAAATAAGCGTTAGAAAAATCAATCTTCGAAAAAAATGTTGCTCCTTCTAGATTTGCTAATAATTGTTCTATCCTCGGTAATGGATAACTAACTGAGCTAATCCATGGATTTAACGAAACTCTATAATTTATGCATAATCTTAAACTATTATCTGCTTTTCTAATGAGGACTAACGGTGTCGCCCACTCGCTATGCACTATAGGTCGTATTATGCCTTCCTCTAACCATTTATTTAATTCCTTATCGACTTCTTTTAACCAAGAAAAAGGCAATCTCCTTACTCCACAAAATTTAGGCTGGTAATTTTCTAATAAATTTATATTTACTTCAACATCTTTTAGTGTCCCTAACTCTTCTTTAAAAACCTCCAAGTATTGACCTACAATCATACTTATTTCATGGCTGTATTTATTTTCGATAATCTTTTCCTGTTCTACTGTCTTCTTAATTATCTGTTTGTTGATTTCAACGGGTGTTCCCTCTAAAGACTTTATATCTCTTGAACTCTTATTCTCTTTGTCTCTATATTTAATTAAAAACTCTGGAGTTCGATTTCTAAGTTTATCGAGAACTACATCTTGTTTATCTACTATATTAGGCAACTTAAGTTTATCGAAATCACTATCTATCGTTTCCTTATTTTCATCATTCATTCTCAAGATATTTTCAATAAAGACCGGATCTAATATTTTTATATCTTCCCAACCTAAAATTGGCTCAATATTCAAAGTAGTTATCCATAAAGTTATACCTCTATCAATTCCAGGTAATCTTGTTCTGTAATAACCTTTTTCACTATGCTACCATCTAATTGTTTGGCTCTTATCTTTTTTATAACAAATTCTTTTCCTGGCCAAAATTTATTAAAATTCTTTATTCTCATCAAACTAATTTCTGCTCCTGTATCTAATAAAAAACATATTTCAGCTTCCTCAATCTTTATCCTTATTCTCGGGAATCTATTTTTCATTAAAAAATCCTATAATTCAACCTTTAGTACGTCTACCCAAGTTGCATCTTTCGATTTATATATATCAAAATTTCTCCTCTCTGTCTTAATGTCTCTCATTTTATCTCTACTTCTCTTAATACTTGATTTAAAATTAACAAAATTAAAAAATTTATTATTATCACCAAAATTCTCATTAAAATTCTCATTAAAATTATTATTAAAATTATCATTCAAATTATTATTAAAATTATCATTCAAATTATTATTAAAATTATCATTTCCTTCTATCAGTCATTTCTTACATCTCTCTTGTGTGTGTCCATCTTGACCTCACGTATTACATCTTAATATCAAATTGTCTAATCTGCATCTAATAGCTACATGGCCATTCTTGCCACATCTCGCGCACTTTAAATCTTTCGTTAAATCACATTGTAGCGACATGTGACCCGGCTGGCCGCAACTAAAACAAATTATTTTTCTATAATTATCTGTCAGTCTGAAATTATCTATATTTATCTTCTTCTCTACATCTCTCAATATATTCTTAACCTTTTCTAATTCTATAATCTCTATCTTAATATAAGCTGTACTTCTCCATATGATTACACCTAATGTAAAAACAAAAATAACCATAAAAACTATTAAAATTATATTTTCTAAAAATAAATTCCAAATACTCATTTGATTAATATACATTATAACGTGCTTAATAAAAATAATTTAAACATCCTACCAAAATTAAATAATATAAAACAATTATTAATATTATAAATAAAAAGTAAAATAAATATATCATGAATATAATTTTTTTACCTTAATTACGCTGATATATACAAAGAATTGACTTGTAATCACAATTTACTTCTTCTAAACTTTATTGTATCGTCTCTTTATTAGACTGAAAATCTTCCCTGAGTATTTTTACTCTTCGGACCAGTGTTGAATTTCGAAGTTTTTGGTATAATTGGTAAGATAAATATATTCAATATAAATATAATAATACCTTTTAAGGATATAACTTTTAAGGATATAACTTTATTATTACCAAATACAAATTAAGTAAAAAAAAGAATTCAAAATAAAATGAATGATTATAATTCACAAAATACGGGTTTAAATATGTTAATAAAAAAAAATTTATATTCAAAAAAAATTTTATATGCAAAATTAAAATAAACAATAGTATTCTACGTACATTCAAGTTCGTTAAGAATAATGGGTTTTTATATGTTAATAACAAAAATTAATATTCAAAAACCATTTTATATGTTAATAACAAAAATTAATATTCAAAAACCATTTTATATGCAAAATTTAAAATAAACAATCATATTCTCCGTACATTCAAGTTCGTTAAGGATAACTTTTATATTCATCTCTCATTTTAATATTCAAATAATACAATAAAAAAAAACTCTTTTTTTCATAACTTTAACACTAAATATTTTACAAATTTTGTATAATTTTTATTTAAGCAAAATTGTTTTTTCATCAGTTGATGAATATATTATTCCATCTTTATTGAAAATGTTTCTAATTTTTATTTCAACTCCTTCGTTATTAGTTTAAAAATGAATTATATTTTCTTTAATGTGTTTAGTACATAAAAGATGGGTTGAATTTATAAAATTTCTACGCAAGGCCGATACCATTCCCAATTCTCCGTCACTCCCAAAAATTATATTATTTAAGGGTATACGATTTTTTTTAAAAATTGATTCAAGGTGAGAGAAAAAATTATTAAATGTTTGATAATCCGAATTACCGTGTATAAATATATGTCCTAAGAAAATTGGATGATCGTGTAAACGGTGAGTTTTTATACATTTATGTTTAAAAACGATGCATGTTACAAACAATTCTCCTAAATTATAAGTTTTATCTATACTTATAATGCTAGGATTATTATTTGAGCAGATATATATAATGTTATCTATCATGAGGGGAGTATCTCAAAAAATAATGACGGAAACTTAAATCTTTTTTCATTTTAGGTTTATAGGAGTAAGTTTACACAAAATGAGTTAAAAAAATAAAACATTTTTAAAATCCCAAAAATCTAAATATTTTTGACTAAATTGAGAATTGACATCATAACTCAAAAAATAATGACGGAAACTTAAATTTTTTTTCATTTTATGTTTATAGGAGTAAGTTTACACAAAATGAGTCAAAAAAATAAAACATTTTTAAAATCCCAAAAATCTAAATATTTTTGACTAAACTGAGAATTGACATCATAACTCAAAAAATAATGACGGAAACTTAAATTTTTTTTCATTTTATTTTTATAGGAGTAAGTTTACACAAAATGAGTCAAAAAAATAAAACATTTTTAAAATCCCAAAAATCTAAATATTTTTGACTAAACTGAGAATTGACATCATAATTCAAAAAATAGTGAAGGAAACTTAATTTTTTTTTCATTTTATGTTTATATGAGTAAGTTTACACAAAATGAGTCAAAAAAATAAAACATTTTTAAAATCCCAAAAATCTAAATATATTTGACTAAACTGAGAATTGACTTCATAACTCAAAAAATAATGCAGGAAACTTAAATTTTTTTTCATTTTATGTTTATATGAGTAAGTTTACACAAAATGGGTGAAAAAAATAAAACATTTTTAAAATCCCAAAAATCTAAATATTTTTTGACTAAACTGAGAATTGACATCATAACTCAAAAAATATAGACGGAAACTTAAATTTTTTTTCATTTTAGGTTTATAAGAGTAAGTTTACATAAAATGAGTTAAAAAAATAAAACATTTTTAAAATCCCAAAAATCTAAATATTTTTGACTAAACTGAGAATTGACATCATAACTCAAAAAATAATGACGGAAACTTAAATTTTTTTTCATTTTATGTTTATAGGAGTAAGTTTACACAAAATGAGTCAAAAAAATAAAACATTTTTAAAATCCCAAAAATCTAAATATTTTTGACTAAACTGAGAATTGACATCATAACTCAAAAAATAATGACGGAAACTTAAATTTTTTTTCATTTTATGTTTATAGGAGTAAGTTTACACAAAATGAGTAAAAAAAAATAAAACATTTTTAAAATCCCAAAAAATCTAAATATTTTTGACTAAACTGAGAATTGACATCATAACTCAAAAAATAGTGTGGGAAACTTAAATTTTTTTTCATTTTATGATTATATAGCTTGTACCAAATAAATTAATCCAAAATAAAAAATTATGCTCCTATAATTCATATTTTATTTAATTAAAAACTAAATTTTAGTCTATTACGCCATCTAACGGAAATATATTTATGATTTTTTAAATTATATTGTGTATTATATTTTTGCAACATATCTGTTCTATACATATTTTAAATTTATAAACTACTCTTTCTTCCATATTCTATTTAATTTATTTAGATATTTTTAATTTTGAAAATAAATTTGACTTACATAATACAAATACATTATTTATATTTTTAAAATATAATTGATAGGCCATGTAAAAAATACTGGATTTAAGAAATTGTTGGACTGTGATCCTCAAAATAAATCAAAAAAATTTAACCTTGTTCTAGATTTATAAATTTTTTAATTATAAAAAATACAATTTTTTTGTCATTCAAGGTATTTCAGATGATAAAGCTAGGTAATTATATATTTTCTAAATTTTAATTTTTTTCTAGATTTATGTTAATTGAGGTTGGCTTTCTTAGCTAAATTATTTTGTAAACAAAATAAATCAAAATTGTAAAAAAAAATTTTACTTTTGTTTTCTTTAATCAAAATTGTAAAAATTTTTTTTACCTTGTTTTGTTTTTTTTCCATTATTTTGTAACCTATGAAAAAACTTTTTATATATGTGTATTAAATTATATATTATATATATTATCTTTAATCAAAATTGTAAAAAAAAATTTTACCTTGTTTTGTTTTCTTTCCATTATTTTGTAACCTAAAAATTTTTTTTATATATGTGTATTAAATTATATATTATATATATTAATAAGAAATATCTGTAAGATGTAATAGTAGATGAAATTATGGTTTTTTTTTGTAATGATATGGTTATAGAGTGATGTGGTATGGTTTTTATGGAAGTGATTATGAATGATTTAGTTTTCACGTTGATTACCATTGATCAAATTTGCTATAATCATTTTGATTGGACAAATAATATTTAAAAGAAAACTAATGGCTAAATTTGATTGACATTTTTTGAGGATATATAAAAAATCAATCTACTTTATAAAAAAATCAATTTATATCAACATAAAAAAAACAATTTAAAGGTTAGTATTAATCGGTCATATCAATAATAATTTACAATTTATTATTCAAAGATAAATTACATTTTTTTATTCCCTTCAACAAAAACAATTTCTCTTTATATATCTTTTTTTTAAACAATAATAAAAAAAAATAACTAATACAAATTGATTGTATAAAAAAAATGTTAATATAAAATTTTCACAGATACAAATTGATATATAAAAAAATAAATCAATTGCCAAAGTAAATAATAAAATAACATCGATCAACATATTCAACAGCTACTATTCTCCATCTTTAAATTGTACAAGACCACAAAGATTATCTTCATTATCATTATTATTGAAATTCAAGCTTCATGAATCCAAATGGTCGCTTAATGATAGGCCTTGAAATCCATAATATAGAATGGCCTCAATAGTTAATTTGATCTTGCATCTATTTTCCTGTGCTATTTTAATCCTATTTTTGTCAATATGTGATGAAATGGGAATCATATCATTTTAATCAGGGGCGTCGCTAGCCTTTACAATCTCAGGGGGCTCAAATAAAAAAATTTTTATGGGGGGCTTCGCTCCCATGCCTTCCAATTTGCGGGCCTTCGGCCCGCTTTTGCCCGGCCAATATATAATACTTTTTTAAAATTTGTTAACTCTGAACAATTATTCTGAATTATTTAGTCATTATATTATGCATACAAAATAAACTGGCATATAAATAATTAAAACAATACAAGACATTTCTAAGAATAATATTTTTTAATATAAAATCAATTTATTACAGTATAAAATATTTTCGATTGCTGATATAAAAAAAATTTGCCTCAAAGAATTACAAGTGATAAAAAAGGTTAATTAATTCATACATATGCCTCAATTGATAATGGTTTTTTAAAACCATATAATATAATATAATTCTTAGCAACTTACATTGTCATAAAACTAATATAACTTCTGTTACCATTTTAAAAAATGTTTTATAGAATGGACTAATAAGGAAAAATTTATAGGCCTAACCAAATCAACAATTCTTGAAGAAGAGATTATAAACGACAAAGAATTATAAAACTAAATGGTGGTTAAAGCTTCCTCTTAGATGATATGATGGAAGCTAGATAAGTAATCGAAAAAATTATTGTGAGATTAAAATTTCTAAAGATTATCTTCCATTTTTAATAATATATAAACGACTACACAGTTGATCATTATTGCTTATCTAAAATATGCAATCTGCTCTCAGCAGCATTGGCGTACGCAAGATTATCTTCCATTTTTAATAATATATAAACGACTACACAGTTGATCATTATTGCTTATCTAAAATATGCAATCTGCTCTCAGCAGCATTGGCGTACGCAGCGGGGGGGGGGGAGACAGGGGGAAAATCCCCCCCCCCCCCAAAGCCAAAAAATGCAGATGCCGGATATATTTTTAAAAAATATTAGTTTATATTAATTTATATTTCTTAATATTTATTCGTATCTCATATTAAATATATATTTTATTACATTTATTATCACATTCATAAGTTATTTTATCAATTAATTTCGATTTCAAGTTTTCCGGTGTAATATTTACTTATCATTTTCAAATTTTTAGTGGCGTAATATTTATCTACCATTTTTAAATTTCTAGTCAAAAAATAATTATTTCTGAAACTTCTGGTCCAACAGGGAAAAAGAAATTGCAACCTTGTCCAACGAGATAGAGCCTCTTCCATCAAGCACTAACAGCTATTAAGGAGTTAGGCCAATTATTTGTTATTACTGAAATATCACAATGGCCTGAAAGAAATATTTCCTCAGAAGCAAGAAAATTATTGGA